CGAACGTGCTTTTGTGTGAGCAAATTCATCAATAATTAAGTATATTAGGCACGTACTCGATCTAAAACGCTGGAGATATTTTTTCTGTTTCGAAACACAAAACGCTAAGGAGTTCAGTCGATACTTCTGTTCATTGTAGAAACGCAAATAATTTTTAATACTTTTTAACAAGAGAATGAACGTTCGCGTGCAAGTTGGTCACCGGAATAAACATGAAACATATGATTCGAAAGATGCAATGTCAACGTTAGGTAAATAAAGTACAACTTCTAACTCTCTTCTTTCGCGTAAACCAGCTTTAATAAAGCTGCAGTGATTGCGTGTGGCTTAATATTCTTCGTCAAGGGACTTTCAATACGAACTCTAAATGTATAAGCTCAGAAAACAGCGATTCTTGCAGATAATGGGGGAAATTGTGGAACATAAAAATAGCGGCTGTTCTTTTTCCAAATCTATCCGAAGGATAATTTGCCTATTTCATAGTGACAAGCCTTTGAAATTGTCATACATACATCTTTATACGTCTACAAGTCTCCATTCAATTCTGCAAATAAATGGCGACCGAAACGTCGGCACCTTCGCCATGGACGCGGCGTCACCCGGACAGCCTAGTAAATATGGTAGACTGCTTTTCGACGCTTATTGGCTGGCGGTGGGCGAATATGGCTGCTTCTTTCTGATTCGTTGCTTCTGTTGGAGTGGGAGATTCGAATTTCTCCCCTCCATGAAAATAAGGGCTCTCCGTTTAACATTGAGTGCCATCTCTGATATATACTCTCTGGCGAACATCATGAAGAGAAACTGTTGTAAAACGAATAAACTTTCAATGTTTTTAAAATTATTTCGCAAAAGCCCCTATACAGCGCTACTTATCAGGGTGGGCGATAATGGCGGACCTACCTCCCCTCGCTCCGTCACCCCCCTACCTATACTTTCAAAGAAGGACGTTTTACCACCTATTAAGTGTCGCCCCCCTGGTACTCGGTGACTTGATTGAATTCATGAGGATGATGTGCCGCTTAGTGAAACGCGTGTCTGAGATAAAATGCTCTTGGTAGCAAAGTTACCTCTACTTTCCAAATAGGCAAGAACACTACTCAATTAAACATTTTGCTCAGCTATCCAGAGACAATTTTCCTGGCATAATGGGTGCCATTGACTGCACTCACATTAGAATTGTGTGCTCTTACAAAGAGAATGCAGAGATCTTCTATAACAAGAAAAGATTTTATTCTATTAATTGTCAGATTATTAGTGAACCTGATATGAAAATAACAAACATTGTGGCGAGGTGGATAAGGTCCACACATGACAGAGTTTTTAGAAATTGTCATAAAAGATGTCATGGAACTTGGAATGTATTCTGTCCACCTAATTGGCGACAGAGGATACCTATGTGCACGTTATATATTAACTCCTGTGCTCAATGAGATAAGCAATACCAAGAAACGTTCCAATACAGCTTACAAAAGAGCTAGGAATGTTGTTGAAAGATTATTTGGCTGTTGGAAAAAAACGTTTTCCATGACACACTATACTCTAAGGAAAAATTGGATACAAGTCTGAAAATAGCAGTTCTACACAATATTGCTATTGAAAGAGACTCATTCTATTCTCACATTATAAGGGGGTCATTATAATTTAAAAGATGATTTCAATATTGTTTCTTGATATAATTGGAAAATAAAGAACAATAAAAAATCACAAGCAAAAATATTTTCTTTAAAACCAAACTCCTTATCCTCTTTTTATTAACTATAAAGCAATTCCTTGGATTCCTACTTCAATTATCTATCTGGATTACAACAAGATACTAAATTAACTTGGAAATGACAATTTGATCTGTAATGAATAAAAATTACGTCAAGCTTTTCAAATTATATCCATTTCTGAATAATAATTCCTTTCTCTCTCTAGATTCTGCATGGACTATATTTAAATATATAATTCGCCCGGTATTAATGATTATGCATGCCCCATTTGGGGTGATGCAGCAAAATGTCAAATTCACAATCTACGAATAATAATAATATGTATTTCCTAAAAATGATCAATACACCTTGGTTCATAAGAAATGATCAAATATTTCATGAACTTAATCACGTATCTCAAGAGATCTCTTATATCCTCCAAAGTTATATTCTCTCTCTACATCTTTTTATTTATAGTGTAAATTTACATTTGTCATTTATAACTTTCGTACAGTTAAGATATTATGATCCATAAATTAATAAGACTAATATATGTAGAAAACTAATACTACAACAAAATACTACTTATATGTCAGAAACATGCTTAGAGATTACTTTTTATGTTTCTCCTCATATTCTATTAAGTTATTGTAATTGTTCATACACTTAAAAGACAAATTTTTGCCAAACATTTTTAAAATATCAAACAAACAAACTTACAAATAATTGCTTATAAATTAAACAAAATGCATCAACTATTTTTTGGAAATGTAAGGAAATGACTATTCAGAACAGTATTCTTTCAAATATGTCAGTAATAAATTATCCCCCTTACTTTTTTACTTCTGATGCCTTTTTCTGAGTTATAGGAATAGAAAAAGGGCAGAAGAACTTGGAGCATCATTTGTTTCTATAACATCTTTCTACTGACTACCATTTACATTCCCACCATTATTATCAATAAATATGGGAATATGTAGTACTCCAGGACCTTCCTACAAATGGAATAAAACCATTAAAAACTACCATTTTTTCAAAATATACTAAAAGTCACATACATATTCTCTAACAGTACAATAAAAAATGGCAAAGAGAAATTATTACCTGGAATACAAAGGTACGAGTATCGTCATCATATACCATTTCTAATGGCTCAAATGATGCTTCCAGCATTGCTGCCACAATTTCGTCTGCTCCATCCATACATTTTGTTTGTGATGGACCACCCCCAGAGCCTCTAGCCTCATTCCTTGAAGGATCAAGGACTTTTCTTGCCCCATCTTTCAAACGCTTCCAGAGGCCTACACAAAAACATTCACATAAAATTCAATTTTATAAAAGCAAAACATCAAATAGGAAATAATTATTAGCAATATCCAAATGAAAATTGCAGACATTAACAAATTTAACACACTTACAGACAACAAATTATTATGTTTAAATGAGAAAATTTCTTACTGCACTATTGTTTGAAGAACACACAATTTTAACATGTTACACCATCCATTTGTATCAATATCTCTCTTTTTCAAATCTTATAGAAAAAAAACAATTGTATCAACTTAAAGGAATCCCTCAAGAGAAATTAAGTTTTTGGTAGATGAGGTTTACTATACATCTAAAATCACACTAATTTTAACCATTATAAAAACATTTGCATATTACCTTTTTTTAAAAAAAATTTTAATCAGAATCCACCCATTCCAATGTCACAACATAAAAATATAAACATGTCAGTGTCACAAACTAACAACTGCAAGTAATGACATTGCTTTAATGAATATGCTATATTCATTTTTAAAGCGTTTATTCTCAGAATAAAGTTGTTGGCTACTCCTGATATTTGAAAGTAGATATTTCTCCTTTTTAAGAAAACTAGAGCAACTACAAAACACACTTATGCAGCAAAATCTCCAATTCACGAACTAGAGGTTATACAAAATAAATATTTCCTTAAAAATGGAATTTGGTAAAAAAAAACTTACTCTGAAGGTCCACATTTACGCGCAGGTTAGCGTGGATTTGACGCGTTCAATTTTTCGCAGATTTTAATCCCGGCTTGCTTGTTCTCGCAAATCACATCACTTGTACACGCCACGGACCAAGCCGGGGCTACAAACCTGTGGTTTCCAACCCGCCACACAGACCGTCTTAGAAATCCAACCGTAAAGAACTTGTGTCACAACATACTCTTGTCCGAACTTGATATGTGAAACAACGAAATTCATGAAAATATAAAACACCAAAAATCAAGATCATTATTCCTCAGAATATCTACTCGTACATTTATTTCACCAATAAACAACACTGTGTTCATTTGGAGAACATATAATGGAGTGTAATATCCAAATGGTCCATTTTATTAAGTCATCTTAGAGAACTGAAATGGTAAATCAAAAGTAAGGGCGCAGGTGATTATCCAGAGCTCCTCCCCGAATGAAAGTCTTCTCACAGATGGCACAGTGGAAAGGTTTCTCACCAGTGCGCATGTGATGGTCTAAGGTTCCTTTTCGATTAAAGGTGAAACACTAAAGGTTTCTCACCAGGGTGGGTACGCATGTGCTCATCCAAGTGACCTTTTTGTGTGAAGGTCTCCTCACAGATGGAACACTGGAAAGGTTTCTCGCCGTGTGGGTGCGTATGCAACGCCCACTTTCTACTGAACATCTTCTTGCAAATGCAATTATCACTTTAAACGTTTTCTCCTGTGGATTCTCGTGTTTGGGAACGCGTCCTTGCGGAGCGCGGCTTGCTCATAGCCGCTGAAGCTCCTCTCAGTGGTGCAATCCAAATCTGTACTTTGACTATGTTGTAGCTGGATTGCGCTAGTTTTCTCAGATGCAAAACGCCCCCAACTATCAGGAGGGCGGAGGAGGAGGAGAGGAGGGGGAGGGCGGAGGAGGAGGAGAGGGGAGGAGGGAGAGGGAGGAGGAGAGGAGGGGGAGGGAGAGGGAGGAGGAGGAGGCGGCAGCGGCGGCTTTATGTTAAGTAAAATGTTATATGCCTCATAATTTTAAAACAATTAAAAATATCAAATTATATTCATTGTAATTATAAATTACAATACTAAAGATTTAAAATCCAAAATTTAACTTGAAACTCTTAAAGCTTGTTAGGTATTTTTAATTCTCCCGTAAAATTTATTTATTAGTGGTTATGACATTTTGCAGTTTCATGAAAATTATGTAGAATGTCTGATGTTTAGAAAAATAATAAACTTTCCTTGTGTTTAAAGCCACTTACTACAAATGTTTGTAAATCAATTATAGAATATAATTGAAATCATAAAATAAAGTGCTACATGATTTATTACCATATTGAAAACCATAACTAATAGTACGTATAGACCATTACTAAGTAATTGCTGAAAAGAATTAGCACCTTGATTTTGAATAGCTGTTTCTTGGAAGTGTTGAACATATTAATTTTGTTTCTCTTCAATTCGGAACAATCAAATAATCATTTCGTATATTGAAAATGTTGAACACACTGGCTCTGCCAGAAAGGTTCATTTCTATATATAATTCAGATAATATTCTATAATAAAGTTTAGAAAATTGGGTGGAGGTGTACAAAGCAACAGACAACACGAATACCAAATTTAACTTATTCATAAACATATTCCAAAGTTATTTCAACACTGTTTTCCCACAAACACTGAAAAAAATAATAAGCAAAAACCATAAATCCTGGATAACAAAAGGAATCAAAACAGCGTGTGAAAGTAAACGAATCATGCGCGAAACAATCCTTCACCATGAATGGAGCTCTGATTTCATTCCTTATTACAAAGCATACAAAAGTACCTTGAAGAAAGTAATTAAACAGGCCAAACTGTTAATGAATGATCAATGTACCAATCAATCAACCAAAGCACAAAACAAAACAAAAGCAATGTGGAACATTGTGAAAAATACTCTAAAAACAGAAACATTAACAACATTGAACTTCACTACAAAAATAAGGTTCTGCGCACCCATCAAGCACTTGTAAACATATTTAATAGACATTCCTCAGAAATTGGAGAATAAATACTTCACGACAAGTCCTTAAATAATATAATTATGCAGTCAAATATCCACACATCAACAAATGTAAACTCCATATATATCTGTGAAACATCACCTGCAGAGACACAAAAAAATCATAAAACAAATGGAAACAAACTTTCCACAGGACTGGATAATACGAAGATTTCTACCCATTTTTCCCAACCTAGAATGATAAATTATGGAGTGCCACAAGGATCAATCCTAGGGCCCATGCTATTTCTCTTGTACATCAATGACATGCTCATGACCCTACAAAAGAGCAAAATGGTCCTATTTGCAGATGACACAAACATTATTATTAAAACAAATCCCAACAAACTCTACAAAAAGAAGCACAAACAGTCCTAGAGGCGCTAGTAAAATGGTTCCAGGAAAATGAACTACACTTCCGGAATCCACTCTCTAAAGAAAAGCCTCCAGCACAATTGATGATAAACAACATGCCTCTAACAATAGCCCAAAAAACAACTTTCCTTGGATTGTCTATTCAAGATGATCTAAAATGGAACTCCCATATCACAAACAACAAGCTTACCAAGGCATATACATCCTGAAGTCAAATTCTAACTTGGATACACTGCGAATGGTGTACTTGCCAATGTTGACTCGCACCTAAAATACAGAATAATATTCAGGGAAAATTCCTTAGAAACTCTTTCATCCTCCAAAAACGAAAATTGAGAACAATGACAAACACTTACAAACATGAGTCCTGCAAACTACTGTTCAAAAAATTACAAATACTACCACACCCATGCATGTACATATTTGAAATATTAATCTTCACAAAGCAGACACTTATGGGAAACAAGGATTCTGTTACTCTGAACACAGAAGTTCATAACTATGATACTAGACAAAAAAGAAAGGTGTCATGTCAATGTTTCACTGTGCGCATGTTCCACTCAGTGAAACTTCACTCTTTCAAAATATAACCATTATAGAAGGCATTACACTATATAATAAACTTCCTAGTGAATTTAAAAGCTTAAACTCGATACACACATTCAAAAATAAACTGAAAGCTTTCCGTTTAAACAATACATTCTACAGTACAAAATAATATATACATCATAAACACGTATCTACATCAATATAAACTAATAATTTTTGCATTTTGTGTTGCATGTTTTCAAAACCCCTAAATTGGTTACTGGATGTAAAGGATGGACCCAGCCTAAGCACGAATCAATGAAGAATTTCTTTTTTTATTATCATTAATTTTTAATTTAAATCTTCTTACACTACCATCTATAAAATTAATAAGCATTCCATGATATTGTATTAAATACGAGAATTGAATTTTAATTTTAATTTAAGTCTTGTATTTAATTTTAAGAAATATCTGTATTGTGTATTGTATGATTATATACATATCCTGACTTGTCATACATGGACTATTATATTATTTTTATTATTATTATTATATTATTATTATTATTATTTTAGAAGGGGGAAATCCTTTATGGAGACCGGTGAAAACAGTACTGTCGGATTCCGTTCTTGGTTTACCGACTAAACCCTAAACCTTCATCTCTTAAGTCGTGATTTCTCCCACGCGGAAACCGTCGGTAGACATTACTTCTCGTGGAAGATTGACTGTGAAGCTAGTGCTTTAACTCCTCCGCCCCTTTTCCTTCATGATATTAACTAAGTAGTTCTCTATTATAGTCCACTTCTCCAAATTCAACATCATGTCCACCATGTTTTCTGGAGTTATCACTTGTTGAAGTTTAACGTTACGAATCTCCTTTTCCGCATCCCATGCCTTGCACTGAAACAGTGTATGCTCTGCATCGTCAATATCTTCTCGACATAGGTTACATGTCGGACTTTCTTTAATCTTGTAATCATAAAGGTATTTACCAAAGTCACCGTGTCCCGTAAAAGACTGGGATACGTAATAATTCACCTCCCCATACTTTTGACCGACCCATCTCTCAATGTTATTAATTATCCGATGTGCCCATCTACCTTTAGCGTCCACACTCCTCCTTCTTTGTCATTCTTCAAAAAGTAGTTTCCTAGCCTCACTCTTAATAATCTCTATTTACTTGGGACGGAGATGGCTGTTTACTTGTCGAGCTTCCTGCAAGACGGAGTACGTCCTTTTCCATTCCATAGCTATCAGATCGATTGGCGGGATACTGGCCAATACTAGCACTGCGCAAGTAGACACCGTACGGTAGGCAGACTCCTCCCTCAGGGCCATTCGTCTTTGCACTTGAGCATACTTATTTCTCATAA